CAGCAACAGCAACAGCAGCAACAAAAACAAAAGCAACGACCGATAGCACGACTTGTACCGCAACAACTGCCGCTACAACAAACACAACACAACACAACAAGCAAAGCACAAGCACAAGCACAAGCACAAGCACAGCAACACACAATAGAATAGAACACCCACAACACCATGGGATTGTTCCGAAGGCCCGGAAAGGGAAAGCAGGTCGAAGACGGGGGGGACGACACCCCCGTCCCAAAGGTGGACAAGGCCGTGGAAGAACAAGCCCAGGCGGTCATGAAGGACAACCTCGAGATCATGAAGGACATCGTCATGAAGATCCGCCACGAGGAGGGCTACGCCAAGCAGATGTACGCCAACTGCCCCCGGCTCCAGCACATGCTGGACAAGAACCCCGACCTGAGGCCCGTCTTCGAAGACCCCCGCCTCGTAAGGATCAACTTCGAGACCGTCTACAAGGAGGCCGGGGGCGTCCTGCCGGAAGACGAGGAGGACGCGGCCAAGAAACAGGCCAAGAAATCCCTCATCGTCCGGATCGCCAGCTCGCCCTTCTTCAAGTTCTTCAAGTTCCTCCTCTTCCTCAAGAAGTTCGTCGGCTGCATCGCCGGCGGGGGCGTCGCCGCCATCGGCGGCTGCGTGGCCTGCTGCACCGACTGCTGCACGGAGTGCTGCTGCGAGGACGCCGTCGAGGAAATGTTCGACGAGGACGCCTCCCTCGACGACCTCTCGCTCGACGGGGCCGAACTCGACCCGAACAGCCAGCAACTCAACAACGTGGCCGAGTACATGGAGGACCCGGACGTCCAGGAGCAGATCCAGCGCCTCCTGGAGGACCCGGAGAACCTCCAGGAGGCCATCGACAACGACGTCGAGCTCCGGGCCCTCCGGGACTCGAACCCCCTCTGCGCCGAGCTCATGTCGGAYCCGGACACGATGAAGATCATGTGCGACCCGGACAACCTCCGGGCGCTCGGGGAGGCCCCCTCCCTCATCGAGCTCGACTTTGCCGACCCGGGCGGCTTTGTCCCCGAGGCGGACTTTATCGACATCGAGACCGGGGGGCCGGACATGGACTTTGACCTGGAGATGCCCGAGATCGACGGCGGCGGCGGCGGGGACCTCCAGGCCTTTGACGTGGACTTTGAGGCGAACGAGATCGAGTTCGACATGGACATGGACATGGACATGGATGGAGACATGGACATGGACATGGATGGAGACATGGACGGAGACCTCGAGGCGGGCGACATGGACGGAGACATGGAGGAAGGCGGATGGGAAGAAGAGATCGAAATCGAGGAACAGGACTTCGACGATATATCGGTCGGAGATGACAGCGTCAACCTCCAGCAGAACGAGGATGAAAACGACCTCGAAGCCGAGGAGGAAGAAGATGACGACGATGGCGGATGGGAGGAAGACATCGAGTTCGAGGAACAGGAGCTCGACGCCGACGGAACGGACGCCGACGCCGCCAAGGGAAAGGGAAAGGGAAGCGCCAAGAACCAGCAAAAGTCCCAGGCCCAGGAGCAGGCCGCCAAGAAGGGCGGAATGAAGGGCATCATGGCCTCGATCGGCGTCGCCGCGACGGACCTCATCGCGTCCCAGATCGTGGGACAGATCTTCGGCGACGGAATCATGCCCGGAGACCTCATGGGGGGCGGGAACGACGTCGACCTCGGGGGAATCGAGGACGCCGCCGACCAGGCCGGGGACGTGGTCAACGACGACGTGGCCGACCTCGCGGAGGACACCGTCGACGAGGTCAGCGACGAAAAGAAGGACGCCAAGGCCGCCGCCCTGGCCGAGCTGGAACGGCAGAGGGGCTCCTCGAGCGACATGTACGATTCCACGGGCCGCAAGATCAGGGCCGCGGCCCTGCCCCTGGGGGCCGGCGCCGCGGCGGTGGGGGTCGGTGCGGGCCTACACGCGGCCAAGAAGAAGCCGTCCTCGCTGCTGGGACCGCGGACGGACGCGGCCGCCGGGGGCGCCGACGACGACAGCTTTGCCAGCATCCAGAGCGGCGAGGAAGACGAGTTCGAGGACGAGGAAGTCTCCGGGGACGAAGAGGAAGAGGAGGAAGAGACCAAGAGAAAGACCGGCAAGAAGACCAAGAAACTCTTTGGTGCCATCAAGAACATTGCTTCCGCTACCGTTACCGCCGCAAAGGAGACGGTGGTCAGTGCGATTGTCGGAGACGATCTCGGAGAACTGCTGGTGGAAAAGCAAGAGGAAGCAGCGGAAGGGAGCGACAGCGAAGACGGCAGCGACGACGAGGACAAGGAGGAAAAYGACGACGACGACGACGACGACAAGAAGAAGAGCAAGAACCAAGGCAAGAAGGACAGGGGCAACGAGGACGACTTTTTCGAGGACGAAGAAACCGAAGAACTGTTGCCAAAGAGGAGCAAGCGCTCATTSCTGCGAAAGAGATGATCCGAGAGGAGGCAACAGCRACTTGGTCAGAGACGATTTCTTTCCTGATACTACTACACCATCAATCAATACTATCTGTACATTACTCTGTCACGATGRTGTGTTTACTATTACTATTATTTGTTGCTACGTACTTCTATTATGTACGACAAAGAGAGGGGTATTCACTTACTACCGTACCGTATGTACGTATGGCACCGTAGTACACGTAGTTATATGACACTAAAGAGCATACATACCTTTTGCAGTATTTTGCAGTATTTGATTGATTCATACCGTACCCAGTACTGTACTTACCACGCCGTGGGATTACTTAACTTCACCGTACCAAGTAGAGCATACAAGACTTAACGGTCAAGTTTTGTTGGTTATCCGAATGTGTACACTTTACCTAGTCTTCTAGTACATGCACCAAAACCCTCTCTTACGTAGATTTGCAAAAGAAACAAAAATTGTGAATTGTGCCTCCTGACACCAAACTATTGCGAAATGCTGTAGACAAATAATACTAGCAGAAGTAATTGGCATCACGAACGAGAAAATAGAAGCCATACCGTGCCTGTCATACCGGCTACAGTTAAGATTGGAGGGGGCGAGCCAAATCCCGATTCATCCCAGCGAGAASTGCGAATCGAAAGATCAAAATCGAAAGGGAAACAAGGGCATGATTTCGGACAAACCGAGAACGATCGTTTCGACATTGTTCGAAACGGGGAGCACGATACGAAACTGCAATAGACGCTCGCGACCGATGACAAGAAYGCACGGGTTCTCGTCGTCGTCTTCGATCGGTGCCATCGCCCTGGTGCTAACGATGTGCCTGTCCACCCTCGGAGCCGCATCCTCGCAAGAACAGTTTGGAACCCAGTGTTCCTTTGCCATTACGGGCCCCACCCTGGACGGGTGCGATCCATCCCTCCTGGACMACCGCCAGAAGTTTTACGACGAWTTCATGGAGGGMTGCGGAGAGCGGTACGACCGAGAGGATTGCGAGAACGAAGAAAGCGTCCGCTACAAAATGAACATTGAGCAGCCCCAATCGATGGTCAACATGACGGCGACCGGGTACCGAAAGACCAAGGCACCAGCCTCTCTCATCAAGCTTCTTACAGAGTTTTGGGAAGCCAACAAGGACAAACAGGAAGAAGAAGAATGGGGGGAGGGGTCGATTTACACGGTGAGTGCGATATTGATAGCAACAACGGCACCGCGTATGGAGTTTGGAACGGGTCGTCGCATCGCAGCAATAAYAAAACGGAAGCAATCGAAACGTCTGTTAAAGAAAGGCTTCTGATAAACTGCGCTCCGATCGATCGAAGCACCTCAGTAAGAACGCGAGAAGTACACGCTTGAAACGGATGGCAAAAAAGAAATTTTTCTCAACGCTCACGTCGACGGATTTTTGCGTTTGCTTTCTGGTCTACGAATCCAATCCAATCCAATCCGTTTCGGAAAAAATATGTGGTTTTGCATCGTGGCACGGAATGCTTTTTGTAACGATGCGTTCGTACGAACCTTGAACCATGAATCGTGGCTTCTCTCACAGAACCACTGGGCGGCCCCGACGTACGTGGTCGATGTCGAAAGTCCTCGGCTCAGTGGCGGTGGCGAAAGACTCAAGAAAGCCATCTGGGACGCTGCCATCGATGGCATTGCCGAGTGGACGGGCGGGGTCGCCAAGCTCCGGCCCGTTTCGCTGTATGGAATCCGGGTTTACAAAGAGGGAGCGGTCCTTAACCCACACGTCGACCGGAATCCGCTGGTCAGCAGCGGGATCGTAAACGTCGCCCAGGACATCGACGAGCCGTGGCCTCTGGAGGTGTACGACCGCAATGGCCACGCCGTCAACGTGACCATGGAACCCGGSGACATGATTCTGTATGAATCCCACTCGCTCATCCACGGCCGGCCCTTTGCCCTGAAGGGCAGGTTTTACGCCAACGTGTTTATCCATTTCGAGCCATACGATGGGTGGGACACAACCAAGGGCCAGACCCAGCTTGGTGATAACAACGGGGATTTACCGCCCTACATTTTGCCGGGATCGCCACAGGAAAAAGCCTGGAGGGAAGAATACCCCAACGGCTGGTCCAAGATCTATGCCGAGGGTGATGAACCTCCGGTCAACGAGTACGCKGCCTATGGTGACCTGCAAGAATTGAAGGAGGTCGGAGACAAAGATCCGGGAATGCTGCGCTGGATGGATGAGAATGGTTGGACTCCGGTACGTGTGATAGCAACCCGTGCTGCGTTGTGTTGTGTTGTAGTTTCACGGATTGGAAAAACGACCAGAAAATATAATGCAACGGATCTCACCTTTTCTGTTTGGGTCACTTTTGGGTTTCTCCTTTTCCTTGCTGTCCTACCCATACAAAACCATACTTTGCATTGCAGCTGCACGAGGCAGCTCGCACTGGGAATTTTGAGATGGTCGATTACCTCGTTCAGAAGGGCGTTCACATCAATGCTCTCACGCACGATAATTCTTCTCCACTTCGTGTCGCCATCAACGAGCTAGGAGAAGACCATGAAGTCGTGAAATTTCTAATGGCCGTTGGTGCCGAAGACCACGGAGGGTCTGTCGAAGACGAACAGGAAGAAGAAGAAGATGACGAATACGAAGACGACTACCACGACGACTATGAGCCCGATGAGACACCATCCGAAGTAAGCGATCCCGCACCTGAAAGCCAGGCCGGGAAGGTGGCATGGCCCGATGACGACGAGGAGCTATGAAGAGCCACCCTGACGAAACTCAGTATCGTACAAAACAATTGCTGAAGCTTTGAGTATGGCACGAAGTGATTCGTGCGACCAATCTGAGACATCGTTTCTCCATCAGACACCTATCCTCGATGGGTGCATGGGATTTCGCAAGAGGGTGATATTGAAATTCATATTTAGTACTAGTACTACTATTCCTGCTTAAATTAGATCTTGTGAACTAATTTGACTTCCTACTGGTAYTGATGCTATTTCTTAAGACAGCTCGCGCAATAGAGCACTGCCTTTCGCAATAGTCTTTCTTCTGTTCTGCCATAGCAATGTTTTCTTTTGGGGCGATTTGTTCGGTTCACTGCAGGAGGATTGCAGGAAGGATACTACTACAA